ATGTATATTTTGTTATCTGTATTATTTCTGCATGTGAAATGTGAAATCAATAAACTCAAACTCAAACTCAAACTAAAAGGACGTATAGGCTACAAATCGTGGTCACAAATCTATTACCGTTGATAGTTCATTATTGAAGGAAAAAATATTATCTAAAGATCATAATTGAGATATCAACAGTGAGAGCAACCAGTGACATAAACAGCATGCCATACTTAAGTCCAACTTTAAGTCGATCTTAGTCTTTAGCCCCCCCCCCCCTTGGATGAATAATACGTTGAATGCTTTTAGATTTCGGCTTTGATAATACCCAGAAAAGTCAATGAAATCGGAAAACAATAATTTTGTTCGCATACTTGAAAATTACAGAACTTGGTGAGGGTAACAATTATGATGATAATCTGGATTTGTTTAGCGCTTAATACTGAATACCGTCTCTAAGCGCTTAAAACATTACAGGTATGATTAATTTAGTTCTTAAAGTTGATACTCTAAGCAAATAAATGTCCCTTAATTTGTTACCTACGGCAAGTATATGTTATTTTAAAGTTTTTCAATTACTTAGTATATCACAAAAAAATTCTGTCTTCTCGAAATCCTCAATTGAAATGTCTAAAATATCCGCCTCTCTTTGCATAGAAAATCAGTCACGACGCTGGTCTACTATTTATGACCTCACGTCCGGGAGAGAGTATATTCACGTACCCGGATGTTCCATAGCAAACATGTGCAGAGTGATACGATTTTCTGCATATTTTTGTTTCAAAGGCTGAAAAGTCTATTAAATCATAATTCTATGTACAATTCTTTACCTTCCCCTAGTACTTCATAGTATTAATATCAATTCCCCTTTTAAAAATTATGACATATACATGCCAACGATGTGCTATAATTAATAGTCGATATTTTCACCATGTAATTTTTGTTTTGGTGTTGAAATCGGCCCAGGCACGGAGTGAACAGTAGCTGTCTACCCATGTTCATTACCATACACTACAGCGATCTCCCGATGGTTTCTTCTTCCTTTTTCCCATGTCTTTCGCCTTCCTTGGCCCTGAACATCCTTCATCTACCAATTCTGACACCGGTAGTCAGGAGCAAGTCTTTGTTAGTTGTTTTTCTTAGCTGGCAACGTCGCTTTCATTCTCTTGCAATTGCCGATAAACATATAACTAGCGCACGTACGTTCCATCACAAGCAAGCAGCGCCTAGAGCAGCGGCTTGGTCTTACCTCCCGATTCTGCTCGCTCCACGAACGTTCATGCAAGAGCCGCATCACTCGCCAAAATATTATAGAGGAAGCGCGCGCTTGCATGATCTCGTTCAATATTTTACAACATAAAATGTTTAACTGGTACTGTATCCTTTTTGAGGCAGTCACACACATCTATGATAAGTACTATCATAGTTCTAGACCTATTCGTTTTACAAAACTGCTCATGTACATCTGATGACAATATAATGCATCCGCCTATTCATAAGTGCACGATTTAACTTTAATTCCTAAGCAGTAAACTCGTCTTAAATCTCTACCAAATAGGTGAATATGAGGATATAAAAAGAAATCAGCGACTGGAAAATGTTGCTTCGTTATTCTTCATTCAAATGAAAACAGAAAATCCATCAAATATACTCCTTAACAACAACACATCTAAGCTCTGACAGGATAGCATTTACCACTGCCATTCACTCTCACTGAGCCCATGACTCCCGTTCGTGACGTCACGGATAGAGGCCCGACTCTACGTGCACTTCCGGGTTTCAGACTTAGATATTTTGGTAGAGTTTACTCGAATAAATTCATTATTTTAAACTTGTTTTGTCGAGTGGACACCATTTGGTGTTATTATGGGGGTTAAAAGCTTTCTATTTATGTAATTATCTCAGTATTTGGGATTGTCTTAGAGTATCAACTTTAACTGTAATAGGCGGTATAATTATTACGATGATCTCCACGATACAAAATCCTCTGGATTTTTACGTTTCTGTACAGGCGCATTACTTGTAATTCAAATTCATTAAACAATTTTTGTTTTCAAGTACGATTCTTTACAATAAGTTTAATGCAGTTTGGTGACATTACAATTATGCACTGTATATGAAAAAATGAAACGATTGAAAAGAGAATATTGAGGTCATTTTGCATTGCATTACAAAACAACTTTTTCTGGTGCCAATTTCCCTGCCAAAAACCTACTCATAATGAAAACATAATCGATTGTTTACCAGAAAAAAAACCCACATAATAATGGGTGTAATACAATACATTCTGTGCCCTTCGCTGTTTAAATGAACAAATCTCTTAAAATATTTTTAGAGTTATGCAAAGTATATTCAATAATGTCCTTGAGGAAACGCACCCTTTTTTTGGTTGAATATAACTGTATTAAGATATGTCCTAACGATCCAAACGACAATGTCACTAAATCTGTTCTCTGTATACTGAAGCATTAAATAAAATTTGTTTGTTCGTATTTCCGTCATATTAAAAAGAATTTACAGTGAAAGGAAGAAGAACAATATATATAATATACAGTTTATATAAGAAAAACAAATCATATGGCATTAAATTGAAGAAAAAAACCCACAGCAACATTAAGAACGTACAACAAAATGAACAAAAAACAACCGCAGAGAAACAGATTGCTGGCCTAGCCCATGCATTTTCAGCTGCACTTGTATGGGGTCTCCCAGCGTACGTCATTGTGGCTATTCTTTATTTCAAGGGGCATTAGGCACTCATAATACAGCCTAGAATTCAACTTCGAAATATCCTAATTAATATTATATATCGTATTCATTTATTATGGGCGTTCCCAACTCAAGCTATGCTTTCCGGGTTTTCGCCTCCTTCCGTATCTGAATTATTTACTGTCTACTCTATGTTGAAATAATTCATGTATATATACATTGTGTTTTATATTGTGCTGTTGAGAAGGAAATAAATGTTAATAAATACAAAATACAAAATATATAGTTGGTACATGTGTGTATAGTGTTTTGACTATTCAGTTTTACCCGTGGTTAGTTGCCTTTGAATGGGAGATTTTTCTTGTCTGACGTCAAGGAAAAACGTAATAATGGGCGCATTGTCACTGGTAGATTCCGAATTTCATTTTGATACCAACACTCAACAACCAGCAATTCTCCATCCATAGTATCTATGCATTTCCTTTACAAATAGCTGACACTGATATTTCCTTTTGATGTAAATTTGCTTCTTCTGAAGCGACATTCTTTGCAAGATTATAGGACAAACCAGTATATGTTCAACATGTTAATTCATCAATTGACAGAGTAATCTATAATAATGTACATGTACAGTTAACGACTTTATTATCAATACCTCTTTTAAATTTGATGTTTTTTTGTTGTTGTGCTTTTCGTAACTCAAGAATGAAAGGTGGACTGATTAAACTAGGGCCTTTGTTGAATACTTTAATACTGTTTTCACACTGGCAAAATTTTGCTTAACCCCGTACTATAGGTGGGGTTAAAGGGAGAATTTTGATGTCACATTCTCAAGAAACATGAATTGTAAACCCCTATTTTACTATCAAACTCGTTTGTTTGTTTGTTTCTTTCTTTCAATTTTATTTTAATTTTCTCCTCCTTTTTCTTCATCTTCATTAACTCTTCTAATTCTTATTGCTTTTATCATATCAATGCAACTACTGAATCTTAATCTTATATTTGCCTAATTTACCCCGTACTTTTTACATGTATTTTATATGTTACAGTTTTATTTGTAAATTCAAGATGTATCAGGTTTTGATTGTGACTTTCATTTTCTAATCAAGAAACCTTGTCAATTCACTTCAGATGGGAGAGAGAGAGAGCGAGAGAGAGAGAGATACATAGAGAGAGAGAGAGAGAGAGGGGGGGGGGGGAGATTAGAGAGAGAGAGAGAGAGAGAGAGAGAGATTAGAGAGAAAGAGAGAGAGAGAGATTAGAGAGAGAGAGAGCGAGAGGGAGAGAGAGAGAGACAGAGAGAGATATGAGAGAGAGAGAGAGAGAGGGGGGAGATTAGAGAGAGAGAGAGAGAGAGAGAGAGAGAGATTAGAGAGAAAGAGAGAGAGAGAGGGGGGGAGATTAGAGAGAGAGAGAGAGAGAGAGAGAGAGATTAGAGAGAAAGAGAGAGAGAGAGAGATTAGAGAGAGAGAGAGCGAGAGGGAGAGAGAGAGAGACAGAGAGAGATATGAGAGAGAAAGAGAGAGAGAGATTAGAGAGAGAGAGAGCGAGAGGGAGAGAGAGAGAGACAGAGAGAGATATGAGAGAGAGAGAGAGAGGGGGGAGATTAGAGAGAGAGAGAGAGAGAGAGAGAGATTAGAGAGAAAGAGAGAGAGAGAGACAGAGAGAGATATGAGAGAGAGAGAGAGAGAGAGAGAGAGAGAGAGAGAGAGAGATTAGAGAGAGAGAGAGAGATTGAGAGAGACAGCGAGATAGGGAGACAGAGATAAACAGAGAGAGAGAGAGAGAAGGGGGTAAAGAGAGAGAGAGAGAGAGAGAGAGGGAGAGAAAGAGAGAGATGAGAGAGAGAGAGAGATTAGAAGAAGATAGAATAGAGAGAGAGATAGAGAGAGAGAGATCAGAGATATAGAGACAAACAGAGAGAGAAGGGGTAAAGAGAGAGGGAGAGAGGGAGAGAAAGAGAGAGAGACAGAGAGAGAAATATGAGAGAGATTAGAGAGAGATAGATTAGAGAGAGAGAGATAGCGAGATAGGGAGACAGAGAGAAACAGAGAGAAAGAGAAGGGAGTAAAGAGAGAGAAAGGGAGAGAGAGAGAGAGAGAGAGAGGGGGGGGGGAGGGGGTCGCAAAGTCAACAAAATGTACAGATTAAAAAAAATCTCAATCTGCATACACCATGCTGATGAGAGAACATAATCGTGTATGATACTACTGTAGCAGCAAATGCTTTCAGTAATGCTGATGATAGAATTTTCAAAAATATATCTAAGAAACAATGACAACTTGAGAGCAAAAAGAGCACATTCTTACCTTTCGAGATCTGGTCAAAATATCAGATGAATTATATGCACTAGATCCTTTCTAAGAGGAAGTCACGCGCCGTGCAGTATATCTCCGTTGCAACTCAGTGCGAGAATGAATATGATTTGCAGCTGCAAATATTTCCCGTTTGAACCAATGAAATGACTAGTGCAAATAATGATGTTCTATTGTCGACTTTGCGCGGTTCATATTGCGTTTTTATGATTTTATGTGGAAACTTTTCGTCATTTGGTAGTTCCGGGTTCGAACTTTGATACGTTGGTTGACTTTGATGTATTGCGAGGCAATGCGAGCACAGAATAGAAATGACGTACATGTATTTTTAGAGTTCTGTGATTGCTAGTGATATACCGTTTTCTTTGTAAAAGTGCGGTTTTTGGCAATACTGGCCTAGCGTGATTCAGGCCTCTGAGGGGAGAGGAAGGGGGGGGGGTGAGGCATGCATCGATCTAGTCGGGAAAATGAAATGCGAATCTACAAGGTTACTGACAGGAGAAAACAGGTACATACGAATTCACATGTTTACAAACATTGTGAAAGTATTACAATTTTTTCGTGAGATTTTCTTGCTCTTTCGATAGTGAAAACATAATAATTATTCTTTAAATTCAATTCTTGCAATTCACTATAAGTGAACATTATCAACAGGGGCGTAGACAACGGGGGGGGGGGGGGGGGGATGAGGGGGATGGCATGTACAATCATCCCCCCCAGGTGTTGGGGAATGATATTTGCTTACTTAATAAGTCATAATGATGATAATAATAGTAATAATAATAATGATAACAATTATAATATTAATAATAATAATAATTATGATGATGATAATAATAATCCTCATCATTATTGTAATTGTGTTTATTGTTGTTAGCCGCATTCACACGGTGAAAGCCAATTCAGACGGTAAAAAAAAGAAAATCTTACAAGTATTTTGTGGTTATCTTGTGGTTTGGAAACCAGAAGAGAACCACAAGATTAAAAAGCGCGGATCTACGGGGGGGGGGGGGGGTTAGGGGGTTTAAACCCCCCTTGGGCGGCCCAAAAAAACAAAACAAAAAACAAAAAACAAAAAAAAGAAAAAGAAAAAAGAACGCACGCTGGAGAGAAACCCTTTCAAGTGCAAATATTGTGAGAAGATATTCAACTCGTCTGGTAACTTAACCAAATACATGATAACTCTGGATATAACTGTGTATTTAACTGTTACTTGATTTAAAAAAGACGTTATCATGCACTGCTTTTTATGGTCTCCATTGTGTTAATAGATGCCAGGAAAACATCACTTACGGGGTTCAAATAAACACCCCAAAAAAAATCGGTTCGCCGCTTCGCGGCTCGTGGACGATGCTCCGCATCGTCATTATTTTGGTCAACCCCCCCTTAGCAAAAAGCTAGATCCGCCCCTGAGTCATCCCCCCAGGTGTACGAACCTGTCTACGCCACTGATTATCAACCTTGTTTTTGGTCATCATTAAAACAACAACAACATCATCTTCATCATCAGCATCCTCACCATGAGCTAGCATCATCCCTGATAGCAGACTGCGTCTTAAAGACGTCATAAATTGGTCGTAAAGTGGTAATCACGTCGTACGTCGTATGGACGACGTAATTACGACGTCACATTTCCAAGAAAACGGCTGCGTCCATGTCATGCCAAAATTTACACATCATGCCAAGAATTTATATCTCTTGTACATTTTCGCAAGGAATATTGTACACAAGAGGGCAGGAATACATCTAATTTTCATAATATCTACATTTTTTTCTTTTGGATGGGTTTCCTTTGATTAATCCATAAGACAAAATTGCAAGATTTGTACCTGTGATTCAGAGTAAAACAAAATCCTCCATGAAATTGAAAGTTCAGGAAAAGGAAAATGAATCATCTCCACCATCATCATCATGATTATAAATAACCCAGGCATATTGTTGCATTATAATGTATTTAGGTCTATATTGCTATTAAGATTATTATTGCTATTATTCATCATTATTGTCATTAAGATTATGATTATGGCGATTATCGTTATTATTATTCGTATTTTTTTGTATCATTATTAGTAGGATTATGATTATCCTTATTATTATCATTTTTAAAACACTATCATTAGTATTACTATTATTATTATTATCACTGTTATTATCATTATTATAATTATTATCATTATCATTATTACAGTTATTATTGCTACTGCTATTATTATTATCATCATCATTACTATTTTGTATCATTCTTATTATCATCTTAAAAATTATCTAATTTACTGTTCAATTATTTGTTATGGTCAATTTTGGTGAGTGCCCCCCCCCCCCCTCCCCCCCCCCCCCCCCCCCCCCCCCCCCCCCCCCCCACCCCCCCCCCCCCCCCCCCCCCCCCCCCCCCCCCCCCCCCCCCCCCCCCCAAGGCTAAACTAAAAACGAAGAGATCGTTGTACTGGGGCGCCATCTATCGTGGATAAATTTATATATTTGGCACAACAAATAAGCGGTGAGTTTAAAAAGAAAACTGTCGAATTCGCGTTGCATTACGGTGAGTTAACGGGAAATGGCAATATACCGACATGGTTTTGGACTCGATTTTGCTGTTGTATCGATTATATGTTTAATTTGATGACTGTACCTTAGGAAATTACAGCATTTTGTGATATAATATTATTAGTGTAACTGCAAAATGAACAAATGGTGTCTCACCAGTACCATACGTTCTATTTTGTGTTAGTTATAACGACGATAGTGTAACTAAGTTGAATTGAATTTCGGCCAGAAGCTGATAAAGCACTTCGTAATGATATATAGATATATTCTACATGACTTTAGATCTATTGGAAATAATTTCTTCTTCTAGGCTAAGGGAATGTATCGTTCATATAGATCTACAGATGTATGATGTAGAAGATCTAATTTAATTAAGTTGGGTCACTGATGATGACTGATCTGATGACATGTCTGAACTTAGACAGCAATAACCATCTGATTTGGGTCATTTCTTTAATAAAACTGACCAAAATATTTCCGGGTCAACCTACCAAAACATAGCCAAATGGCCAATCAGAGCACTCGTTTCGTGGGAGTTCGTTGGTCAAGCTGGGCTTACTCGTACGTAGCTACGGTAGCTATTGGACGTTCGAAAAGAAAAAATGAATATTCATCAACTAACACCAAGACGGATAATGTTGACAACGAGACTTTCTCGGATTAATCATTAATTTAGGATCTAAATGAGCAAGCTATCGTAAGTCAAATAAGCTATATATATGTTATTTTTAATTTGTGTTATAATTGCAGCAGTTATGAGGATGTAAAGAGTGAAAATCTCGTTGCATATCTCATTCATCGCGGTCCGGTCGAACCGAACCATTTGTTCCGTACAGTGCCTCACAGAAAGAGGTCCCCAGACTTCAGTCTCTGTAATCGGAGGTCTAGTGGAGCCAGACGTAGTCTCAGTGGAACAACCGACGATTAGAGAGACTGAAGCTTTCGGTCTAGTCTGAACTTAGACCGAAAGCTTCAGTCTCTATACCGTCGGTTGTTCCACTGAGACTACGTCTGGCTCCACTAGACCTCCGGTTATAGAGACTGAACGATCGCCTATGCCAGCCTATGTTGAAGATATCACGGCTAGATTTTAGCCGTTACTCGTTAGGCCCCTCCCACAAACATGAACAAACTTGCCACGGCCGTATTGTTATGCCCCCAAAATCCCCAAAATGTCATTTTACCTTGTGCATATCCAATTTTACATTAGGCCTAGGCTATAATACATCGGTTCCACTTACTAACTTGATTGAAATAATCCGTTTAATGGTCCCTTTTAAGGAAATTATGGGTCAAAATCGACATCCATGTTGAAAATCTTGCAAGCCGTGTTAAACTCTCGCTGCCGTCAATCTCATCCCTTCTAGTCTACGCCGAAGGCAAAAATGATTATGAAGGAAAAACTGTGATAACGCCATTACGAACGTGTAGATGGCGCACAGTTTTTCCTTCATAATCATTTTGCCTTCGGCATAGACTAGAAGGGATGAGATTGACGGTAGCGAGAGTTTAACACGGCTTGCAAGATTTTCAACATGGATGTCGATTTTGACCCATAATTTCCTTAAAAGGGACCATTAAATGAATTATTTCAATCAAGTTAGTTAGTGGAACCGATGTATTATAGCCTAGGCCTAATGTAAAATTGAATATGCACGAGGTAAAATGACATTTTGGGGGATTTTGGGGGCATAACAATACGGCTGTGGCAAGTTTGTTCATGTTTGTGGGAGGGGCCTAACGGCTAAAATTTAGCCGTGATATCTTCAACATAGGCTGGCATAGGCGATCGTTCTGTCTCTATAACCGGAGGTCTAGTGGAGCCAGACGTAGTCTCAGTGGAACAACCGACGGTATAGAGACTGAAGCTTTCGGTCTAGTCTGAACTCTGATGAACGAAGCAAACTTCTTGTATGGTTTATGGTATTACGCACTCCAGCAAAGCATAGAGAGTCAATGCCAATGCGTATTGACCTCTAGCACTGCATGCTTGCTGTGAGGTGGGTATTTTTAGACCCCATACACAAATACACACACCACACAATATTGCATAGACTGTACACAATCATGTCGATGCAGCTGTAAGCAAAGTTTGACACTAGACTTACAATTTGAATTTTTAAATTATTCTTTTTAACATCAGTAAGTCAAAAAAAATGTATTTTACTGATATTTAGGTGTCATCAATTGTCACTAAAGTACCGATTTTTAGTGAAATCAGTTGAGTTTTGTACAGTGGTGTTTGAAATGTTGAGAATCAAAAGCACAGCTTTTACTACACAGCCAGGATAGTGATGCTCCTATGTGTGGTATTACGCACATGCATGATGCAATAAAGTTTGCATAATTTTTGACTGATAGCTTCAGTTTGAGGTGCAGAGCTATAGTGTAGAGACGGTATTGAGCTGAGCGACGACGTCGACATCGAAGCCCTAAATTGTAACCATTAAACGGAGGATTCCTGATGATTTGGTATTGGTGGGGTATTCTAAAGTTGGGCCATTTTTTGACTAAATAATTGCAGTTGCAGGTGATTGTTTTGAAGGTACAGTTCCTCTCATTCAAAACCTCAAGCAGGATGATTTTTTTTATTGCCATATCTATTGTAATTACACTTTCTTTTGTAAAATAAGACTGCAGTGGCTTTACATTTGACACAAGCTTTTTTTCTTTCTTTAGAGC